GAAGATCCCCTGGAGGAGGGCATGGCACCCCACTCCAGTATTCTTGCCCGGGGAATCCCATGGAGAGAGGGGTCTGGAGGGCTACAGTCCACAGGGTCACGAAGAGTAGGACATGACTGAAGCGGCTCAGTATGCATGCATGTATTAATAAAAAGGATAAAGACAGCAGACAAACCTTACTGATCAGGTTCCTGAAGTTATATCTTCCACACAACTGGCCTCCTTCCACATAGCTTTTGTAGTGAAAACATAATGCCCTTTCACTGACAGCAAAATTGCACAGCCTTTTAAAAAGTAGATAGATTTTGTAGATGAGGAAAGAGTAAGGACTTCTGCAAATCTGACATCATTTTCTCAGCTCCTGTCATAATTCTAGGAGATGCAGCAGCAGCACTTTCCACAGAAATTTTTAACTTATGTGTTTAAAAAAGATTTTTCCTTCCCTTTTCCTTAGTTTGTGGGCTTTCAAGACAGGAACATGAAAATAGGACAGAAGGAAGGATGAACTGAAAACAATAATATAAAATTCAAGAGAAAAATACAAGGGAACTTTACTTCAGTATTAAGGCAAAAAGGAAGATCTCTCAAGCAAAAAATCCCCTAGCACAAATAGACCTGCAGATGGAAATCTCATAAATGTATCTAATCTTATAATTTTATGTCAATTATACTTCAATAAAACTGGTTAGTTTTGAAAAGTATGGGTTAGAGCAGTTTCTCAGTTTTTCACCCATGGTCTTCACAATCTTTCTCATTCTATTTTTAACATATTCCAGGAAGATTTTGTCCAGTTTTACTTTCTATAAAACAATACTACAAAAACAATATATTTCTTTAATATGGTTTTCCAAGATGCACACTCTCCTGGAGATTCTAATACTTCCAAGTACAAACATAAGACAAATTCGGACATAAAAAGACTCTAGCCAACCAATACAGGCCCAAGGAGATATCCCCAGGCCTGGTCATACTCCTAGCAGAAGATAATTACTTATGGTCAAGATTAAGAGAACTCAAAAGTTTCTAATACATCTGTTTTTTCTAAAGTATATTTTAAGACTTTTTTCTTTCCAATCATTACACATATTTTATCATTTTACTTTTAAATAATTCTTTTCTATTTTCAATACTTCCTACAGAAAGGTAATTAGCTTATGAGTTATTTCTTTAATAGAAATTTTCTTCCATTCTATTTCCTAAAGTTAAATGACTTCAGGCGTGTGTGCTTCAATCCTGTCTGACTCTTTGCAACCCCATGGACTGTAGCCCACCAGGCTCTTCTGTCCATGGGGATTCCCCAGGCAAGAATACTGGAGTGTGCTGCCATGACCTCCTCCAGGGGGTCTCGCCACCCCAGGGATAGAACCTGTGGCTCCTGTACTGCAGGCAGATTCTTTACCACTGAGCCACCGGGGAAGCCCAAATGACTTTAGGTAAATAACATAAATTTTAAAACTTATGTACTTTCAAAACAGTATTAACCACTAAGTAAGTATAGATGCAAAAAAAAAAAAAAAAAACAAACCAAAAAACCCTTTTTCTTCAGTCTAGAAATCACATGCTAGAGATCTACACTCGCCTGCTATTCTCCTCACCTCTAACACTCATCCTTTACTTACACTCTGACCACTTCACTCCTCAAAGATAACCTAATGCAGTCTCTAAGGTCTGCTGCTCTCTTTCACCTACAATCACAACAAACTTGTCTTAAAAAGACACTTTTCCCTTTTAATGTGTCCCCAGCTGTGGTGGATGACAAGGGAAAACTCCAAAAAAAAAGCGTATCAACAAAATTATACTCTTTTGAAAGTTCTATTTTGTACAAATAGCTAAATTCCTCAGGAATGTCACCTAATGTGTACATGATACAATGCTTTGTTTTGCTTAAAAAAAAAAAAGATCGTATTTTTGAACACAGTTCTAAAGTCAATGTAATGATTTGCAGTATCTCTGGCTTACTACAAATGTTTGTTTTAATTGCACCAAACACTATACTGCAGGTCTCTTATCCAAATCACATCATCACCACTACCACTGCTACCTTTAAAATTTAAAACACGTAATGGGAGTTCCCTGGTGGCCTAGGGGTTAGTATTCCAGTCTTGCCATGGCCTGGGTTCAGTCCCTGGTGGGAACTGATATCCTGCAAGCCACAGGGTGCAGCCAATAAATAAATAAATTTAAAATGTAATACTGTTAACTAAATATTGAATAATGGTTTATATAACTAGTGTATTTATGAGACAAATGTAAGATCAGTAGAGACACAATCCACTGCTGTGAATGAACAATAAGTTCAAGTGAGTCTTAATCCCATTATTTCTCTGTATAATGTCTTCAGTTATTGGAACCCATCTATTCTCCACATTTAATCAGACTTTAGCATAATCTGATAATTATATAATAATTATGAATCGTATTATTTTTGCTTTTTCAGGTTGTTCACAGCAATCCTGTATCAATTTGTTTCTCTCTCTCACATACACACAACACCCCAAATCACAAATATATAGGATATAAATACATATGTTAGTGAATAATTTTATCTATCTATTGCTCTATTATTGGTCAGGAACACAACCCCATTTTAATAACATTCCCTAAAACAGGATAGCTCTACAATGTAAGTACCAAGAACACAATGAAATATGAAGTAGGTATGACCTATATTCAATGAATAATTTTAATATATCCTTTCTGAAACTCTGTTCCTAGAACATTTGGCCTTAATGCCTATGAGGTAAGTTTAAGACTTGCTTCTCCTGGCTCTCTTAATCTTATAAAATATACAGTGTCCTAATTTAGGTCAAAGTTATCTCTGTCAAACCACTAACTTTCTGATCTCATTATTTTACGTCTGAAAATATTAAATATTTACTTTTGTTTATTCTTCTCACATTTACTTCTACCTATTTCTCCTATAAACAGAAACCTTTTGAACACTGAGGTTTATTTTAATTACTCACTTTATAGAGGATAAAAAAGAGTAGAGTGTTTTCTAGATTTTGGCTACTAGAAAAAAGAAGTTTTAGTGTCACCATTCTCTTTCTAAAATTCATTTTTATTTAGTCTGAGCTCGTACATATTTGCCAGAATCAAATAAAAATACCAAACCACTAATATACTAATCACTTCAGGAACTCACTTGAAGCTCTACTGATTAGCTCTAGTCTTTACATCTTCTAAATACTTCTTGCACATAACTAGCTAAGGCTTGAAATGTTTGTTATAAATGAGCAAACATAATAATTTACTATAGGAAAATAGACTGTAGATGCAAATTTCTCCTCTCACAATCTCCCAAAGAACAGACTATTTTATCCCAAGAGATAATTCATAAAGTACTCATGAAATTCTAGAGACTTTAAATTAATTAACACAATGATGGTTGGGATCTGGTTACTTACTTTCTTTAAATAAAAGAGGTCGTGAAGTAGTGCTGATCAAGTAGAACAAAATAAAAGTCTTTTGTGAAGGAGGAATTTCCCCACCACCCAACAAAATTATTTCTAGAGTTTTTTCTTTGGAGGGAAACGGCCAGCAATTACAGTTATGAAGATACACTGTAAATGAAAGCACACAACAAATGTGCTTTTATTTATTCACTAACTTTTCCACATTTCCTACTAAAACAGACACACAAGTTTAAGATTCATGAATCCTCTAAAACATAACATTTACAAAACAAATGCACAAGATTTACAAAGCAAATGTGCAAGAATGAATAAACAAAAGGACCCAGATTTCGGGAAATAAAAAAGACTGGACGGTAATATATCAAATGTTCACAGAGCCTGGAGAAGTTAAATACATGATTTATTTCCTTCTTTATACTAAAATACTATAATTTCCCTAACTTTCCCACAGTGAACATGTTACTTTTATATTCAGAAAACTCCCCCTTAAAAAATAAAAATACAACACACCATAAAGAGGGGCTTCATATAGAGGGGCTCTCCAGGTTGTCCAAGTATTATTGACATGATTCACCATTAAAAATAATGCTTCCAATCCTTCTCACTTCCCAACACTAAAACGCTGCTGTCTTATGTCCTATTACTTTTCTGCTGCACGCTCAGAAGATGGAATGAACTTGACTTTCTCCAAACCTTTCATTTCTAAATATATATACATGGACGCTTTTAACTTTTTCATAAAAAACATAAAAGTTCTCACTCATCTTCAATATTTTATTTTTTAAACCTACCTCTAAATTTCGTTAAGATAAATTTAGAAGGAAAAAACGGATGGTTTTATCCACTAATCACAACTTAGTGAGGCCATCACCACTTTAGCTACGAAAAAGTCAAGGCCGGGTAAAACTACAGGTCCCACCATGCATTGCTGCCTTGTTCAGAGTAGGTCTCTACGGAAACAGAAAAAAAAAAAAAATTCTACAAGTCCCACCTGTTACTTCGTTTCTAAACACCTCCTGCACTTTCGGCTCCAACAGCAAACATAAAACAAGAGCCTCGTGACCTCCGGCCGGATCCAGGAGCCCAGACAAGCCGGGGACCCGGAGTGAGGCGATGTGCCTGCTACAGCGGGTCAATTCTACCCAGCTTCACCGCTCCCCTCTTCTTTCTGGGGCTGGGTGCACGCACAAGCATTCTCCTATCCGCATCCAATGGGGGCTCCTCAGCCGCACAAGGGAGAAGAACCGGTTATATGCAAGCACAACAGACTTCCCCAAGCTGGGGCAGGGGCTACCACAGAATCGGGGTGAGAGCGCAGTGACCCCGAGAGGCAGCTCCAAAACACCATAGAGGAACCATCGCAGACGCGGGGAGAAGTCACGGCCCGGCGGCGACCCTCTTCCGCTAGGCGCCTCCATTCCCACGGGGACCGCAAGCCCGACACTAACCGCCGCCCTCGCAGCGCGGTTTTGTGCCCCCCTTAGCCGGGTCGCAGTGCCACTGACCTCCCTTCCCCTGCGACCAAGGGAGGGCGGCGAAGGAACAAAATCCTCCCAGCCTTCCCGTCCGCTCCCTCCGCCTTACCGTCTTGGCGGCCTCCGCCCAGGTCCTGCCCTTCTTCCTACGGCCCTTTTCCCTCATGTCGGGTCTTGAACTGACTGGGAGGCTCCCGTGTCCGGGCTCCGGCCGCCCTCCCTGCCTGCTCTGCCCTGCGCTGTTTTTCCCGCGGTGCCGGGAAAGGTGGGAGAAAGGGGAAGTCAGGCCGGAGGAGCACCGGAGCAGAGGAAGCGGCGCGGGTGGTGCGCTGGGGGCGGTCTATGGGGCGGCCGGTCCTCCTGCTGCCGTTACCACTGCTACCGCCGCTGCCATATTGGGTCCTTACTGTACAGGCAGCCGCTACGGTCATGTGACCGCTCCCGCGCGGCCGTCACTACTGTACGCAGCCGGCCGCGCGAACGAGCGTGCGCGCGCCCCCGCCTCCCGCGCGGGGCCACAGGGAGAGCTAGCCGGCCGGCCGCGGCGTCTGGCCACTCCCCCGTCCTTCCGTTCTCAGCCTCTCCTCCCGAGCATGCGCAGTGGGGAGGTCCGACGCTAACTTGCGTCGGGCGTCCTTCGCTCACGCCTACAGCGAAAACCTGCTTGCGGAAGCGGAACTTGATCCGTCCCGGAAGGTTTATTGGGCGGTTTCTGACCGCGTGCGGGGTGCGGCGGTGTCTGCAGAGACTGGGAAGAGTTAGGCTCTTCCCTCTGGGGGTGACTCTCTTAACTGTCATTTTCGATAAGCCTGTAACTTGCCTTTTCTGTTTGTCCATGTTCATTTTTTCATTTTTTAAAATGTTATGTTTTTGAAGATTTGCCAGTTCTCATCTACTTATTTGCGGCACTTGATAGATGAAGCAATCTGAGATTGAGTGACGCCACACTAGAATGTGGTGAAGCCAAAAACCAAATCACAAGCTCAGAGTCCTTTCCGTCACCTCAGAATGCCTCTCAACTTAGGTAACCTTTATTTTCAGGCCACCAACAACTATATTCATGCTTGTACATGTGAATGTCTCATCAAGGACACAAATGGAGTCTTTTTTATCTTGGTGAGCTCATTGCCTGGCTCAGTGCCTGTACATATCAGGCGCCCTGTAAATATTTGCTGAATGATTCAGCTGGATCTGTAGTCAGAAACCATTATTTGTAGTGACCATAACGACCTCCTGAAAGATCCAGAATGTGGCATCTTCCGTCGCATTGTTCATGTCTTTATACTTTGCAAAGTAAATAGAATGTGTAGTAATGCCTAGTAATCTCCCAAACCCACCTGCTTCCAGAACCTGCTTCTGATGATATTCTAAAATAGGACTGAGGGACTTCGCTGGTGGTCCACTGGCTAAGACTCTGCACTCCCAATGCAGCGGACCAGGGTTTGATTCTTGGTTGGGAACTAGATCCCACATGTCACAACTAAAGATGTAGTGCAGCTACATAAATAAATATTTTTTAAAAATAAAATAGGACTGAGAGTTGGGCTGACTCTTGGGAGAAGAGACAGTTGAGAACAGTCCTTAACTTGGAGTCCAGGATAAGTTTCAGAAGTATATAGCCCCTTAAAATTATGGAAAATATTTTGTGTGTATTAGCTGTGCATTTTCTGCAAAGAGGATTTATAACTTTTCCTCAGTTTTTAAAAGGGATCGGGGATTTACCAGGTAACACAGTGGTAAAGACTTAGTGCTCCCAATGCAGGGGACATGAGTTTGATCCCTGTTCAGGGAATTAAGATGCCGGTTGCTAGGAGGTACAGCCAAAATAAATAAAAGTGTGCTGTTACACACTAGCAGACAAAGTCTTAATAGGGAGCATGAGAGCCCATGTAGATACTTCCTTATTTTTCTACTTCAGTCATTGAGCAAACAACCCCATAGCAGCAACTGGTAAGAAATATATTTTCACAAATTCTTTTAGTAACTCATAACACTATCCGTAACACTGTAGGTATGTACCATGTCACTTTCTAGGTCGGTTCAAGAAGCCTCTCTCCATTCCCAGCTGTTGACTGGGATTTGCCATCCAGCCCAAATTTTAAGTTTTTTTTTTTTTTCTATTTCTGTGAAAAATGCCTTTGAAATTTTGAAACAGATTACATAGACTTTGTAGATCACCATGTGCAGTATGGACATTTTAATAACATTAATCCTTCCAACTGTAAGCATAGAATATCTCCTTTTATTTGTGTTTTCTTCAGTTTCTTTCATCAGTGTCTTACAGTTTCAGGGTATAGATCTTTCACCTCCTTGGTTAAATTTATTCCTAAGTATTCTTTTTGATGCTATTGTCAATGGGATTGTTTTCTTAATTTCTCTTTCTGATAGTTTGTTGTTAGTGTATTAAAATGCAACAGGGGATTCCCTGGTAGTCCTATGGTTGGGATGTGAGCTTTCACTGCCATGGACCTGGGTTTGATCCCTGGTTGGGGAGCTAATATCCCACAAGCCACAAAAAAAAAAAAAAATAAATGCAACAGATGTTTGTATATTGATTTTGTACCCTGCAATTTTACTGAACTTGTTTATTTGTTCTAATAGTTTTTGGTGGAGTCTTTAGGTTTTCAATTAATATATATAAAATCCTGTCATCTGCAAATAGTGACTGTTTTGTCTCTGCCTTTCCAATTTGGATGTCTTTATTTCTTTTTCTTCCTAATTTCTCTGGCTAGGACTTCAATACCATGTTGAATAAAAGTGCCAAGAGTGGCATCCTTGTCTTGTTCCTATTCTTAGAAGAAAAGCATTCAGCTTTCCTCCTTTGAGTATGATATTAGCTTTGGGCTTATCAAATATGGCCTTTATTATGTTGGGGTACATTCCCTCTATACAAATTTATTGACAGTTTTTATCTTAAAAAGGATGTTGAATTTTGTCTAGTGCTTTTTCTGTACCTATTGAAATGATCATATATTTTTATCCTTTGTTTTGTTAATGTGTTGTATCACATTGATTTGTGGATATTGAACTACCCTTGCATCCCTAGAATAAATCCCACTTGATCATGGTATATGATCCTTTTAATATACCATGGAATTGGTTTACTAATATGTTGTTGAGGATTTTTGCATGGGTGTTCCTCAGAGATATTGGTCTCTAATTTTCTTTTGTGTCCTTGTCTGGTTTAGGTTGGCCTCATATAATGATTTTGGAAGAGTTCCTTCCTCTTCCATTTGCTGTAAAAAGCTTGAGAAGGTTTGGTATTAATTCTTCCTTAAATGTTTGGTAGAATTCACCATGAAGGCATCTGGTCCTGGACACTTTGTTAGGAGGTTTTTGACTACTGATTCAGTCTCCTTACTAGTAGTAAGTCTATTCAGATTTCTATCTCTTCATGATTCAGTCTTGGTAGGCTATCTGTTTCTAGGAATTTATTCATTTCTTCTAGGATGTCCAAAATGTTGGCATATAATTAATTATTCATGTTGTTCAGTCACTCAGTAGTGTCTGACTCTGCATCCCCATGGACTGCGGCATTCCAGGCTTCCCTGTCCTTCACCACCTACTGGAGCTTGCTCAAACTCATCTCCATTGAGTAGGTGTTGGCATCCAACCATCCTGTCCTCTGTCATCCCCTTCCCCTCCTGCCTTCAATCTTTCCCAGCATCAGGTTCTTTTCTAATGAGTCGGCTCTTTGCATCAGGAGGCCTAGGTATTGGAGCTTCAGCTTCAGCATCAGTCTTTCCAATGATATTCAGGATTGATTAATTATTCATAGTTGTCTCTTAAGATTCGTTATATTTCTGTAGTATCAGTTGTAATGTCTCCTCTTTCATTTATAATTTTATTTGAGTCCTCTTTCTTTTTTCTTGGTTAGTCTGACTAAAGGTTTGTGTATTTTGTTTATCTTCTTAAAAAACTGTTCTTAGTTTCATTGATCTTTTCTACTGTCTTCTAAGTCTCTATTTCATTCATTTCTACTCTGATCTCTGTTATTTTCTTCTTTCTACTCACTTTGAGCTTAGTTTGTTCTTCCTTTTCTAGTTCCTTGAGGTGTAAAGTTAGGTTGTCTATTTGAGAGCTTTCTTTTTTTGCCATGCATGCTGCTGCTGCTAAGTCACTTCAGTCGGGTCCGACTCTGTGCGACCCCATAGATGGCAGCCTACCAGGCTCGTCCGTCCCTGGGATTCTCCAGGCAAGAATACTGGAGTGGGTTGCCATTTCCTTCTTCAATGCAGCTTATGAAATTTTAGTTCCCCAAATAGGAATTGAACCTAGAGTCCCCAGCAATGAGAATGCCAAGTCCTAACCACTGGACTGCCAGGGAATTCTGAGAGCTTTCTTTTTTTCTTAATGTAAGCATTTATTTCTGTAACCTTCCCTCTTGAAACTGCTTTTGGTGCATCCCAAAAGTTTTATTATGTTATATTTCCATTCTAAGTTGTCTCAAGATTTTTAATTTCCCTTTTGATTTATTTGACCCACTGTTTGTTCAGGAGGATGTTGTTTAGTATCAGCATAGTTGTGAATTTTTCAGTTTTCTTCCTTTAATTGATTTCTAGTTTCACATCATTATGGTTGGAAAAGATGCTTGATAGAATTTCAGTTTTCTTGAATGTACTAAGATTTTTTTGCAGCCAAACATATAATCTATCCTGGAGAATGTTCCATGTACACATGAGAACAATGTATATTCTGCTGCTGTTAGATGGGATGTTCAGGAAGTATCTGTTAAGTCCATCTAGTCTAACATGGCATTAAGTCCAAAGTTTCTTTATTGACTTTTCTTTCTGAATGACCTATCCATTGTTGAAAATCAGATTTTTAAGTCTTCTATTATTATTGTAATGCTGTATATTTCTCCCTTAAAATCTGTTAATATTTGCTTTATATATTTAGGTGCTCCTATGTTGAGTATGCAAATATTTACAAATGTTATACTCTTGATAAATCAATCCTTTTATCATTATATAATGACCTTCTTTGTATCTTGCTACAGTTTTTGGCTTAATGTCTATTTTGTGTGTAAATAACAAGATTATAGAGATAGAGAATAAATTATTAGTTGTGAGAGTTTGGAGATAGTAGAGGGAGGGAAATAGGTATGACTGTAAAAGGGTAACATGAAAAACCATCGTCCATAAGCTGGTGAACAGATGAACAAAG